CCATCACTCCCTCCCTCCCTTCCTCCCTCCTTTCCTCCCTCCTTCCCTCCATTCCTCCCTCCCTCCCTTCCTTCTTTCCTCTTGGCAAATTAACAAAGTAAAGTTTCATTCAAAATTCCTTCACTCAAAAACTTATATGTTCTTCTATAAAGAACACAGAAAATGAAAAAGGACCCCCCCCCTTTTGTTCATGTGCTTCTATTAGATCAAAGACAATCACATATCCTCGAGCTAGCTAGCTTCTGGGAGAAGAATTCCTGAGATTAATATGCCCTTTCAGACACACCACAGTTCTAGTTACACCTCTGCAGTTGGGGCCTCTCAATTGTTTGAAAAGGCACAGTAATAGACGTTAAAAGCCTGAACGTTAGAGCCAAAATACCTGGCTTTAAGTCCTGGTTTTCCTCTATAGTAACTGTGTGACCTTTGGAGAAGTTAATTAACCTTTCTCGTTTTTTCTCATGTGTAAAATTGTGGTAATGGCACGTACTCACGGCTTTGTTTTATTAAATATATTAATTGAGTTACTACATATGAGGTAGTTAGAACAGCCCCTGACCCTGAGTGTGTTAGCTAATTTTTTAAATCATCTTAACCATAGTATTTGAATGTCTACTGCTTTTTAAAACAAAATTTGAGGATCTAAAAAAAAGATAGTGCTAAGACTTTCTCACTGAAAGAATTTGGAGTCAATAGTTAAAAGATAACACAGATTGAAATACTTGATTGCTTAACCACAAGATGAAACCAGTGGGGGGAATTAAACACCCAAATGTTAATGCCTGTCTATTGGAACTTTTTAGGGCCACTTTATGGTCCCCGTTTGACACTTAGACTTTAAACTTCAATTTGAAGATCTTAGAATAATGGTATTTAAAGTATGACCACTTGCTTTAGGGTCATCAAAATATATATTTTTAAAATGTAACCTTCAGGGCCCTCCCTCCTTGTACTAACTGAGCCAGAATCACAGAGGCAAAGAGCACTCTACATTTTTAATGAGCTTCCCTGGTGGTTCTTATGCATGTTGAGAATTGAGAACAGTTGGTGTGGAACAGTGGCTCTCAACCTAGATGCTTATTGGAATCCCTGGGGAAGCATTTAAAAGGTACAGTTACTTGGATCCCAGGCCCAGCAATTTTATTTATTTATTTATTTTTGTTTAGAGATAGTTTCACTTTGTTGCCCTTGGCGGAGTACTGTGGTGTCACAGTGTACAGCAACCTCCAGCTCTTGGGCTTAGGCGATTCTCTTGCCTCAGCCTCCCGAGTAGCTGGCACTACAGGCACCTGCCATGATGCTGGGCTATTTTTTGTTGTTGTTGCAGTTTGGCCCGGGCAGGTTTAACCCCACCACCCTCAGTATATGAGGAGGGCCCTGTACTCACTGAGCCACAGGCTCCGCCCTCTGGTTTTTTTTTTTTTTTCAGTAGAGATGAGGTTTCATTCTTGCTCATGCTGGTCTCCAACTCCTGAGGTCAAGGGATCCTCCTGCCTTGGCCTCCCATAGTGCTAGGATCACAGGCAGGAGCCATGGCACCGAGCCAGTGAGGATGATTCCTGATATGGTTTATGTATCAGGGATGTAAGTTAACTTGATATCTTCAAAAAGTCATTCTGTTGGTTCCTAGGAGCTGGGGGGAATGGGGAATTAGTTAATGATTATGGAGTTTCTCCTTACGATGATGAAAAAGTTCTGAAAATTGGTAGTAGTGATGGTCGTACAATTTTGTGACTATATTTAATGCCACTAAACTAGTTTACAATAGTTAAAACAGTAAGTTTTATGTTATATATACTTACCATGTTAAAAAAAGTACATAAGCCATTAATAGTTCACATATTCTGAACTTTAATTTCTCTTTTCCTTTCATAGTGACAGTGTATCATGTATGCCACTGATTCCAGGGGACGCTCCCCTGCTTTTCTCCAACCTCAGAATGGAAACAGCCATCGCTCGTCTGGTTACGTTCCAGGGAAGGTTGTTCCACTGCGTCCCCCTCCTCCTCCAAAGAGCCAAGCTTCAGCCAAATTTACCTCCATCCAACAAGAAGCCCGGGCGACCTTTGCCTTCTCCTCTGAAGAACGGCAAACCCAGAGAGAAAGCCGAAAGCAGAAGAGACACAAAAATACTTTCATTTGCTTCGCTATTACTAGTTTCTCATTTTTTGTTGCACTCGCAGTTGTTTTAGGAATATCCTCAAAATATGCTCCAGATGGTAAGTGTGTGTGTGTGTGTGTGTGTGTGTATGCCTAGCACATAGTCTAGGCAATGAGGAAATAGTAGAATATTTTTAAAAAAAACTTAGTATCTTAAGTTGGCTCTAGCTAACGAGCATACAGTCAGGTAATATGAGGAGTGACTTATGAACAAGATCAAGTTCGGGAACTTCATGGAAATTACACAGTTAAACAATTGCTCTTCCTTTCCATTTTGCCACCTCGTCTCAGTTCTTGCAGCATCTCTTTCGGAAATGCTTTTAAAAGCTTTAAAAACATTCTGTTTTAGCACAGTGCCATCCTTTGTAGTAGATATGAATTTTGGACTGCCAAAAGTTTTTGTAATCTTTTTTTTGAGACAGAACCTCAAGCTATTCCCCTGGGTAGAGTGCGGTGGCATCACAGCTGACAGCAACCTCCAACTCCTGGGCTCAAGCGAGTCTCCTGCTTCAGCCTCCCAAGTAGCTGGGACCACAGGCGCCCGTGCACAACGCCCGGCTATTTTTTTCGGTTGCAGTCATTATTGTTGTTTGGTGGGCCCAGGCTGGATTTGAACCTGCCACCTTAGGTGTATGTGGCTGGCGCCTTAGCCACTTGAGCCACAGGCGCCGAGCCAGTTTTTGTAATCTTAAATGTAGTTAGTGATGAACTAGATTTGATTTTTTTTTTTAAGTAAGTAAGAATAGTAAGATTTGTGCTTTGTAGTTTAAAACGTGCTTTGGAGATAGTTCCAAAGAAGAAGCTTCAAATATTTTGGAGTAACAATATATATCCTTGAGGGAAAACGTGTATTAGGATGTGTAAGTTCTGACATCTTTGTCTAACAAGGCACCCATTACTTCATAGTTAAATATATAGGGAGATTTAAATTTCTTAAATACTTTTCTCTTTCCAAGTTAGTAATGTTATCAATACTTTGAGTGCTTTTGAGGAAGTTTGTTGCCAGTTAGCTTCCATAGAGTACCATCAAAGAATCGCCTGACAAAAGAATCCTGTGTATCTGTGTGAAAATCAGAGGGTTTGGGGCTGTGGCAGAGGAACACATTTTTTTCTTTTTTAACAAAGTCTACAACAGATTTTTGACAAACTAGATGCCTCCTTAAATCAGTATAATAGTTAAAAAGCATTGTATCCATCTGCAAGACTTACAAATATTATTTTACTTAGTTTCGATGGGTGCTTTTTTTTTTTTTTTGAGACAGAGTTTCATTTTTTTGCCCTTGGTAGAGTGCCATGGCATCATAGCTCACAGCAACCTCAAACTCTGGGGCTCAGGAAATCCTCTTGCCTCAGCTTCCCAAGTAGCTGGGACTACAGGCACCTGCCATAACACCCAGGCGTTTTTTAGAGGTGGGGGTCTTGCTCTTGTTCAGGCTGATCTCGAATTCATGAGCTCAAGCAATCTACTTGCCTCAGCCTCCCGAAGTGCTAGGATTACAGGTGTGAGCTACTACACCCGGCTTCCATGGGTGCTTCAGAGATTCTGTAGCTATTAAGGTCCTGGGAGAGTAGTTTCAATACTTCTAAGAGAAAAGACTTGAAGTAAGAGAGATGTTCTTATCAGTATCTTTATTGACCAAGCCAGGAGAGACCACATTATAAACTCATAACGTTGATTTCCATTGCATGCATTCCTTTTCCCAGCAGAGTGACCAAGTTTACTGTTGCTGATTCATACTTCCCAACTAATCTACAGTAAAGGAATGCTAGACTGGTGGGAAATCAGAGCTGAAAATCTGTGGCTTTCACTGGTGTTTTCTTATTCCCCTGAATTGCTGATGTGGTTCCTTGAATCAACATTCTTTTTTAGTTTTACATTTTGGCAGTATAAGTGCAGCTCATCAGTGGAAAGATCTGGTATGCTGAAATATTTCAGAGTCAGCCTCACTGTGGTTACTGCTGTTACATAACTTTGATAATGTACTCACTGCTCTGCAAGTGGGTAACTGGGAAGGTACGGCTGGCTGAGCTGTTTTCCAGTGCTTTGTACAGACCACACATTTTCTCATTAAGTGTTTTGTACTGAGAGCAAACAGGCTGGAATTTTTAGTGAGGGTACTAAAGAAGCATGATGTCCTGGGGAATAATTATAAACAATTAAGAGGAATTATATAACTATTGAAGTAGGCTGAATTTCCTTCTCTGTAGCTGGGTACAGTGCTTCTTGTTATGGTACTATGGAGAATTCCAGCTACAACATTTATGAAAAGAGTTCAAGAAATCCTTAGTATTATAGCAGAACCAAGTTAAGAGATTTCTTTTTTCTTTGATGGCAAGGAAAGTTTAAAGGTTGCTTTTACATTCCTATAATCTTAGGACTCTGGGAGGCTGAGCTGGGTAGATTGCTTGAGCTCAGGAGTTTGAGACCAGAGAAAGCAAGAGGGGGAGACCCTGTCGCTACTAAAAATAGAAAAACTAGCCAGGCATTGTGGTGGGTCCTTATAGTCCCAGCTACTTGGGAAGCTGAAGCATCGAGGATCATGTGAGCCCAAGAGTTTGAGGTTGTTTTGAGCTATGATGCCAGGACATTGTACCAAGGGTGACAAAGTGGAACTTTGTCTCCAAAATAAATAAATAAATAAATAAATAAATAGCTGAGTGTTGTTGTGGTCACTTGTAGTCCCAGCTACTTGGGAGGCTGAAGCAAGAGGATTGCTTGAGCCCAAGTGTTTGAGATTGCTGTGAGCTATGATGTCATAGTACTCTATTGAAGGTGAAAAATAAGACTCAGTTTCAAAATAAAATGGCTTTTAGTATAACAGTGATAATCATTGATTTATCAGAAGAATTAATGAAACTGCTGTGAGAAAAAATATTCCATGAAATAATTGCCAAGGACTTAAGTAGCTAGACTAATTTTAATGGTAAGACTGTCACCTTAAAGAGAAAGCATATGCCTAGGGCGGTAAGGTAGTAAAAGCTTAGAAACAGGAAGACGCTTGCAGTAGTATTATGCAAGTTCAAAATGAGGAATCAGATATCTTTCTTTCTTTCTTTCTTTTTTTTTTTTTTTTAGAGACAGAGTCTCACTTTGTCACCCTTGGTAGAGTGCTGTGGCATCACAGCTCACGGCAACCTCCAGCTCTTGGGCTTAGGTGATCCTCTTGCCTCAGCCTCCCGAGTAGCTGGGACTACAGGTGCCCGCCACAATGCCTTTGTTGTGGTTTGCCTGGGGCCGGGTTCGAACCTGCCACCCGGGGTATATGGGGCTGGCGCCCTCCTCACTGAGACACAGGTGCCACCCAGAAATCAGATATTTTTCTATACAGACTGATCTCTTTGTGCTGCGCCAAGTTTCTGCTTTTTCTCACGTACCTTCCACCTCAACAAGAGGAATTTCTTCATATGGTTCCCAAGTGTATCTTGTCTGTTCCTACCTTTGCTTAGTTTAAAGGCAATGGACGCCTTGCTTTTCTGAGCAGCCGAATGGGCTTGGATAGCATTGGATACTCCCATTGCTAGTGTTATCTCCCCTTATGCTCCTCTTACATAGATATTCTCCAACATTTGGGGTCTAAGTCTAGTGTCACGTGTTTCAGGAAGCTTCCTCAGTGACTCCAGCCCATCTTTCCTTTGCCTGCATTTGTTTGCACCTGAAGTAACACATCTTCTCATTTCAGGCATGGTGGCTTTTTCTCCTAAGCTCCATTATAAACTCTTAGGAAATGTGGATTCATTCTGTGCTTTACAAATTTTATGATATCTGGTACAGAGTGAACAAATTGATGTTCAGCAAAGACTTGGTTCTTAGCTATCAACACTGAAGGTTGATTTTTATTTTCCCCTCCTCCTCCAAAGTATGGCAGGTACTAAAGGTGTCCTGCATTAAATAGCTATGGCAGTGCAAAATATTTTTATGTTTTCATCATCACCTATTCAAGAGGCAAGCTCTAATTCTAGTAAAGGTTAAAAAAAAACCCTCATTTCTGAAAGGAGAACTTCCCTGTCCCTGGGTTTGCTAAGTGATCTTTGGTTTCTCTAACCTGTAATTTCCTCATCTCTGAAAATAAGAAGTCACATCCTTGGTCACTTGCCTCCTGCAGTTTCATTAGGAAGGTGTACATGGCTGAGGAAGTTGTTTCTCGGCCTCTGCCCTGGAAAGAGGTGCGGTTCTCACCTACTTCATGATTCACTGTGCATAGGAAGGAATTTGTGGAGACCCAATAGACATATGATTAGGCAACTTCCATTTTTGATTAATTAATATAGATAAATATTAAAATAGCTTTCTAGTGTTGTGAGACCCAGGACAATTTAATTTTTTTTCCTTTTACTATTGGTTTATTTCCAGAGTAGTTGATTAAGATGAACTCCATTTTTACCTTGGAAAGTTTTACATGAAGCAGATGTTAGCAACTTAGTTTAGTAATGATACTTTTTTTCTTAGTATGATAGAAAATGAAAGGATATGACAGTTCTCTGCTTGGTGTTAAAGGGTGGGATTCTGGCAGGAGATCAGAATGTGTTGGCAGATTTCTTGCAGACTGACTTTAAATTATGGTAGTGCTTAGATTTGGCTAATGGTATTTTGCATTTTGTTGGTTTGGATAGGATACCCATGTTGCATGTTTTTTTTTTTTTAAATAGAGAATTGCCCTGATCAAAATCCTCGTCTCAGGAACTGGGATCCAGGACAAGATTCTGCAAAACAAGTTGTTATCAAGAAAGGAGATATGTTCCGTCTGACCTCAGATGTCACAGTGAATTCTATAGTCATTCAGGATGGAGGTAGGTAAGGGTCTCTGCCTATGGGAATAGCAGGGCTGCTCTATAATGTGGAGTATATTTAATGTTCCTTAGGTACAAAACTATTCTTATGTGGAAGAACCCTTAGGATGTGGTGTCATCCTCACCAGGGAGCTATGTAAATTTCCTAGGAGAACCTTAGAATTCAAGAGCTGGAAGGACCTTAGTCATCACTCAAGTGAAGACCCTTGACTTATAGGCAAGGAAGTAGTTCTAGAGAGGTGATCTCTCCCAGCTAAGTCTTTGTTACAAGTGATGGAGAATGATAAGAGTTAACATGAATTTTTTATATATATATATATATGTGAGATTCAGATTTATAGACTCTTAGCTATTTTCTAGAAATGATTTACTCTAAATGAATGAACTGATGGCTAGATGTGGTGACAGGTATAGGCTAGGATTAAGCCTATAATTCTAGCATTCTAGGAGGCTGAGGTGGGAGGATCCCTTGAGGTCAAGAGTTTGAGACCAGCCTGAGCAAGGAGACTCTGTCTCTGCTAAAAATAGAAAAATTAAATGGGTGTAGTGGGGCATGGGTATAGTCCCAGCTACTCGGGAGGCTGAGGCAGGAGGATTGCCTAAACCCAGAAGTTTGAACTTGCTATAAGCTAGGCTGAGGCCCTGGTAGTCTAGCCTGGGCAACAGAGTGAGACTGTCTCAGAAAAAAAAAGGGGGGGGAAAGAAAGAATCAAAGTTCATACTCATGGACATTTTTTATATGTGAAGAACAAACACTTCATTTTTCCCTTTACTGTGTTTTAAAAACCAGCTTAGTTTTCTAACCAGACTCTTCATTATTCTTGTCAACTGAATAGTGGAAGTTTATTTTATTTTTCCCCTGTAAGGTGGAATCTACTGCTTTGTATCCCAGAAGGATGTTTTAGATGACGGCTTACAGTAGTGTTGTTCCCTGCAGGACTGCTTGTTTTTGGGGATGACAAAGATGGATCCAGAAATATTACTTTAAGGACTCGTTACATCCTGATTCAGGATGGTGGGGCGCTTCATATTGGAGCAGAAAAATGCCACTATAAATCCAAAGCGACAATTGCCTTGTATGGCAAGTCAGATGAAGGTGAAAGTATGCCAACATTTGGCAAAAAGTTTATCGGTGTGGAAGCTGGTGGGACGCTGGAGCTGCACGGAGCACGGTCAGCGTCCTGGACGGTGCTGGCGAGGACCCTGCACTCAGCAGGCTTGGTTTTTGGGTCTTATGCCTTTGAAAAGGACTTTTCCCGGGGCCTCAATGTGAGGGTCATCGACCAAGACACGGCCAGAATTTTGGAAATTGAGAGGTTTGATACCCACGAATACCACAATGAGAGCAGGCGGCTTCAGGAATTTCTAAGAGTGCAGGATCCGGGTCGGATTGTTGCCATAGCTGTCGGAGATTCAGCAGCCAAAAGCCTCTTACAGGAAACCATCCAGATGATCCAGGACCGGCTGGGAAGTAAGCTGATCCAGGGGCTGGGCTACAGGTGGGCAGACTTTGTTCTTTCCTTCCCAGCTGTCTGTGTCTGTAGGAGGGGAGTGTGGGGGTGGGGAAGGGAACCGCAAGACAGCGCAGCCTAAACTCAGGTGTCAGAAGGGACGGGACAGTTCAGTTCGCAGGTGTGGCTGCTCTGCAGTGTGTGTGTGTGTGGGGGATAGACAGAACTTGGGATACAAAAGCTCTCCTGGCTTCAGTTTGAGAAGCCCTTTGTGAGCTGCTGTGTCAGGCTTGTGAAAAGTCCAGAAGAGAAAAGTCGTACCAAGAAATGATTACGCAGTCTAAGAACACTTTGCCTCTGAGGCTACTTCCCCCTTCCGTTACTTTCTGAACATATGAAACTCAGGCTAATTGAGGCACCTTACCAGTTGAAAGGTTAGGGCAGAATTTCATGCCAAGGTATAAAGTCTATTCTAAAAAGCCCAAGGTGGGTAGAGCAGGCAGGATTTTCTTTTTCTTTCTGTTTCTGGAGACCTTTGCGTGCTAATGTGAATCTGCTTATTTGATGGCCCAGATACCATCCATTTGGGGAGCCCTGGCATAAGTGAGGAAGGAAAAAGTTAGAGGGCTAGAAATTTATCTGGATGGTAGAGTTCATTCCTACTGTTTATGGTTCTTGTGCCATGTCCTAATTAACCATGATTTCCTAATGCAGTTCTGAAGCCGAGGGAAATAGCTACTTCAACATTTAATCCGAAAACCAGAAGCTTTAATTCTGCTAAGTTCTTAGAAACGTTGAGGAATCTCTGCCGTGAAAAAAGAAACCCAACTGCTGAAATGATGTAGTAATTATTTTTTTCCTTCCATGGTAGCTTGTTGGAATGGAATGTTACATACAGACATTTTAGAGAAGAGAAATTCTAGAAGACAAAAAACTAGTGAAGAACTGGGGTCTTTTACATTTTAGAGATGCTACGTGTTCAATACCCTTAGATGCTTAGACAGAAGGACACTGTCTTTTCATTTAATCCAGTGGATAAACAGGGAACTAAATAGATGGTCATACCAGGAAACACTCACTGCAGTTACAGGGTGTAATGAGAGTCAGAGCAGAAGAGAAAGAAGCCCTGAATTAATTGGCCTAGAGAATCAGTATAGGCGTCCCAAAGGCAAGAGGTGCAGAGGAGTTCAGCAGTGTGCTGTGTAGACGACAGTGGAGAAGGAAGGCTTCCTAGACAGAGGGAATTCCATGTGCAAAACCTCACAGGGCTTTTTCGGGGGCGGGGGGAGGGATATAGTACACATACAAAAAAGTACTGAAAATAAGAATGTAGAGTTGTAGGGATCTCTCACAACATGATACCTGTGTAAACACCACCCAGGTCAAGAAGTAGGACATCACCAGCAGCCCAGAAGCTCCTTCCCGAACCACTCCCTTCCCCACCAAAGGTTATCAGACTCTTGAGTTTGTGGGATCCATTAAAATTTAGGTTTGCCTGTTTTTGAACTTCATATAAACGGAAGCAGACAGTACGTCTTCCTTTATTTCTGGCTTCTTTGCGCAATGTTACATTGTTAAATGTCATTCATGTAGCATGGCGTGTTGGTTCATTTCTGATGCTGTTTATTTTATATTGTATGACGGTACCACAGTTTATTTACTGGTAGACCTATCATAAAAAATAACTTCTCTAAAATGTTTCTTTACCCATTTCTGTATGTAGGTACGTGTATTTCTGTAATTTATAGACCTACCAGTGGGGGGATGGTCTTTTTAGAGACCTACTTTGTTTCATTATCCAGTAATGCCAGGGATTACAGCTTCTATTTCTTCATGTCATTGTTGTTTCTAGATTTGTGTGATCCTGTTAGTTGTGAATATTTTGACTTTCTCTGGTTTCTCTCCCTACCGGTTTCTGAATTCACTCTAAATATTGCTTCTAAATTCCGTTTCAGTGTTACCCAAGTTGACAGAGGAGAGTTGTGATCTTTTGCCAACAGTTCCATTGCATCGACATTATCTCCAATGTACATAAACACATAGGCCTTTGAAGATAATGTTGTAATAAGCTGAAATTTTTCTCAAGTGGAGGAGGGAAGTAGGAGTGTTTGGGAGATAATGGCAATAAAAGAGAACATTGTTTTCTAATTGCTGAGACTGTTCTGGTAAATAAAGGAAGCCTCTGGTATCCTTCCTCTCCTTCCCTCTCAAATATGAGACAATAAATTGAGACATTCTTTATTTGATTCTTTCTGCTGTATATGAAGGGATATAAATAGAGCCACAAAACATTGTCATCCAAAGAGTAGCTAATCCACATAGGGCAGCTGTGGAAATTATAAGGGTGTAGGCATGCTTTGGTTAATTTTTATCTGTGACTATCCAGCCATCTGTCTGGCAGAGATTATGTTTGGCAGTTTTTTCTAGAGTAGGAAGTCGACATTTTTCTTTTCATGTTTTGCACCGAGAGTCTTAAGGCCAATTTTCTGGCCTTGTAAAAATTGTCCTTTTTCTTTGATTGCTTTTGGCCACAAGCTTGAGCAAGCCCTTTGGATATTTAGTATCGGAAATAATGGCATTTTCAAATACATTGCTTTCAACAAATAGACACATAGACTGTAAAGTTTAAATCTGTTGGGTAGTGATTCTACAGCTTTGACATAAGAATGTTAAGAAACCTTTAACTCAGTCCTGGCACGGTGGCTCATGCCTGTAATCCCAGCACTCTGGGAGGCGGAGGTGGGTAGATTGCTTGAGCTCAGGAGTTTGAGACCAGCCTGAGCTGGAGCAAGACCCTGTCTCTACTAAAAAACATAGCCAGGCATTGTGGTGGGTGCCTATAGTTCCAGTTACATGGGACACTGAGGCAAGAGGATCACTTGAGCCCAAGAGTTTGAGGTTGCTGTGAACTATGATGCCAGGGTGAGAGAGTCAGACTCTTCCTCAACAAAACAAAAAAGAAACCTCTAACTTAGTGTTTCACTGCCTTGCTTGCACACCTGGAGACTAAAAAATTCTAATGCCTGGGGCTCACCTTAGATTACTATATCAGAGAGAAGACTAGAACTCTCCAGGTGATTAAAGGTTGATAATTACTACTCTATCCTCTAGTCTCTAATTTAGGGGTTCTCAATGTCTGGTGTCCTGACCAGCTGCATTAGCATCACCCAGAGGGTGGGGCCCGGCAGTCTCATTTAACACACCCTCCCTGCAGGTGATGCTCATGTTTGCTAAACTTTGGGAGCCACTGCTCAAACTCAGTGGTTCTCAAGTCCATCAGCACATTCAGATTACCTGGGAACTTTAAATACTGGGGCCCAACCTTTAGCTATTATGATTGCCTTCGCGTGGGATGATGTCTGTGCATTGATGTATTTCTCAAGCTTCCCATGTGATTCTGTTATGCAGTTAGATTTTTGAGACCATTGCAGAGGCTACTTTAAAAGTAAGCAGGTGATAATCATTTAAACAATAGCAAATATTAATACATGGATTTGTGGCTAGAATGACATGTAAGATGGGTGTGTGTTAAGGAAGGAAGTCAGTGATTAGTTGAAGTCACAGTCATCAGTGTTTCACCTGTTACAAACATGAGCAAACAAGTATAAATCAGGTGTATTTCCTTCTAGACGTTGGTTATGTCAGTTTGGAACTGCAACCTTGTGGAAAAAGGATTAAAGATCGGTAAAAATCGAACTTGAAAGTCAGCACCCTGTCATAACATTGGTGTCAGGGATTTGGGTCAATAGCATAACAATCAAAAGCACATACTCTTTTTCCTTCTAGGCAAGCGTGGGCTTTAGTTGGGGTCATTGACGGTGGAAGCACTTCTTGCAATGAATCTGTGAGAAACTATGAAAATCACAGTAGTGGCGGGAAGGCTCTTGCCCAAAGAGAATTTTATACCATGGATGGGCAGAAGTTCTCTGTGACAGCTTACAGCGAATGGATTGAAGGTAAGCAAGTACGGTTTATATTCTTATAAGATGTGGGTAAGTATTGCGACAGATTTTTTTCTTTTTGGCTGGGGCTGGGTTTGAACCCGCCACCTCCGGCATATGGGGCCAGAGCCTTTCTCCTTCGAGCCACAGGTGCCACCCAGTATTGGGACAGATTTTTTTTTTTTTTGAGACAGAGCCTCAAGCTGTCCCCCTGGGCAGAGTGCCGTGGCATTACAGCTCACAGCAACCTCCAACTCCTGGGCTCAAGCGAGTCTCCTGCCTCCGCCTCCCAAGTAGCTGGGACCACAGGCGCCCGCCACAACGCCCGGCTATTTTTTGGTTGCAGCCGTCATTGTTGTTTGGCGGGTCCGGGCTGGGGATTCGAACCCGCCACCTTAGGTATACGTGGCTGGCGCCTTAGCCGGTTGAGCTATAGGCGCCGAGCTGGGACAGATTTTTTTAAAGAAGTAATATTGTGTTCAATGAGTGTCTGGTTAGATTTCTCAGCGAATAGCCGTTGAAATAGTTTTCTCACTGTCCTTAATCTTTTTGAACAAAGTAGAGTTGGGGAGTCTCCAAGCTAGAATAGATCTTTCTGGTCTAGAAGGAAACCTTCTGGGTTTGCAGCGAGGAGGTGGTATCTATTGGGGCTGAGGAAGCCGGAATCAAGCCCCAGCTCTCTGCTTCCGAGATGACTGACTGTTGTTTCCTTGGCTATACTAAAACAGAGGCGGGTGACACGAGCATTTCTGAGCCAGAATTTGGTCCTGTACGTGGAGATAAGTGGCAGGCCTCCAAGAAGATTCTAGACAGGATAATGACTGTGACAGACCTTGAGCAATGTTTCCTTTGTGGGAAGTGTTGTTTTCATTCCCGCATTACTGACAACTACTCATTTCTGGAAGAGGGTACGTTCTAGCTATCTGTCACAGGATGCTGTTGATGTCCCGTGTTCTCAGTGACCCTTGCTTTCTGGAAGAGCTAGAGATTCTCTCCAGGAAGCAGGGAAGATGAACTTACTTCCTCTCATGCTTCCAATTCAGTAAGTGCTAATCAGAGGTAATCTCAGGCAGGATTTTCTTTTTCTTTTTCTTAATCATCCACCGCCCATCCCTATATCCTGGCCCTGGGGGGGAGGCAGCCAGTGGAAGGATTTTCTTTAAAAGTCAGAAAAAAGTGAGGGTTTATTGAATAGTATGAATCTTCCCCATCTAACCTGCTGGGTATTTTTTAAAAAACAGAAAGAAACAAATTCTGATCGTCTCTCAAGTCAAAACATTAGTAGTCATCTTTTTAAAAAAGCATTATTGAAATTTTTATGAAAAACATGAATGCTTCTTAGCTGTCCTTTCTGGAGAAGTATTTTTAATTTTTGGTAAAAATCTGAAATTTGGGGAATGATTATTGTTGTTGCCATGAAGTTTTTATCTTTGTTCTTATCCTACTTGTTTCTTAGTCTACTAAGAATCCAAACAGGAGTTTGATTCTTAGGAAGGCAGTATAATGTAGAGGTTAAGAACTTGGACTCGAGTTAGACTACCATTCAATTCTGGACTCTACCACTTTTTAGCTATTTAACTCCACGACCTTTTGTTTCTTCGTCTCTGATGAATATAATACAGTAGAACCTCCATAGTTGACCACCTCCCTTCATTGATTACCTCCTTCAGTTACCTGACTTTTATAGACCAGGCATGCAACAAATGTATCAGTACAGTAGACCTAGTTCCTTGTTGTTGACCAGCTTGTTCTGGTCCCTTGGGTGGTCAACTTACAGAGGTTGTTCTATGGTTTGTGTCTTTCATCGTTGTTTGGATGAATGGTTATGCATGTGAAGCCCCAAGGACTGTTAGCTGTCATTGTTAGAGTTATGTAGTATTATCAATATTACTATTTGGATAAAAGCTCATCAGCTGTGGTGTCTGTGGATAGAACAAACATGTAAAAAATACTTTAGATTTTTTAGGTACTTTTCTTTTGTGCTTTATAAACATAGAAAAGCAGGGTAGATTAGAGTCTAAAAGAACAGAATCAAGACCGGCCCGTGTTAAGTTTTATCTGAAGAGTTGGCTTGAAGAGGGTAAGAGTATCTATACCAGGTGTCCTCAAACTATGGCCCGCAGGCCACGTGCTGCCCGCCTAGGGCGTTTATCAGGCCCGCTGGGTGTTTTTCCTGCCATTGCCTGTCCTGCTTAGCAGCCAATTCGTCCTGGGGCCCGCAGTCTGGCCCTCCAACGATCTAAGCGACAGTGAACTGGCCCCCGTTTAAAAAGTTTGAGGACCGTTGATCTATACAGTTCCTTGTTCCTCGCCTGAATTTCCCTCCTTTTGTTTTCTTAAGTAAATGTGTTCTTTCATGCCTATCATTGTCCTTTAGAGCCAGCATAGTCAAGCGGCCCCAGAGTAGTATGCCATTAGTTAGTTGGAAGGATCGTAGAGAAGTACAGGTGTTCGTTAAACTCTTTGAGTTTAACAGGTGTTTTTCCCCTCCGTGGATATTATGAGTAGCTTTAATCTATTCTGTGCATGTCAGATCAGCTTTCAGGTTTAGACATCATATCACAGATGTTAGAGAAGCAATAAATGCTTATATGCTGGATCATGTATAAAGAAAATATAAGTGACAGAGAAGATGGATCAGGTTTTCTTTCATGATGGATCTGGTTTTCTGTCTAATTGAGTTTCAAAGGAGATATTAGGAGAGATCAATAATTAGTAGTTTTTATTTATTTTATTTTTTTATCAAGTCAAAAGTAGTTTTGAGATTGCTTAAGAAAGGAGCTGGGTTAGACAGGGCACTGTCATGCGACCTTAGGTCACACAGCAGAGCAAACTGGACACGCTCATCCATCCAGCAGTTATCCATGAAACAAACGAGACAGGGTAGAGAGTGCGTAAGTGGACGCACTGTGCTGCCTTCTCTGATGCCACTTCTGAGGTGAGCTAGTCTCCCTTAGGAAGCCCTGAACTCTACCCAGGAGAATACATGAGAATACCAGAGACCGAGAGCTTGCTTTCAGCAAGGACATTTGGGATGTCTTTAAAGATTCACTTGAACTTCATAAAAGGTAGACAGTATCCTGGTTGGTGAAGAAAGGAGAGAGATTCTAGGTGGAAAATAAAGCATGAGCAAAGGCATAGAAATGAGGAGTTTTCTGAGACCGACTTTTATTCTTAGTATTAAGCTTGGCTGTACGCTTAGGTGCTGTGCTTGGATCCAGTTGAAGCAGTGATGTTTACAGAATTGTTCTGTTCAGCCTCTACCTGCGTATGTGTTCTTCTCACAAATTAAGATGGTTTGGGGACAGTAATAGAGATTTAGCACTAAGTTCAAATACAGCAAGAGATCTGGCAATTGAGAGCTTTCTTGAAAATCATGAATAGCTGACTGAAGTGACATCTTATATCCTGTTGTGGCTAGGCGTGTATGGGATACTCTTCCCCCCGAGGGCAGAGATTTTTATTTTCATATTATCAATTGTAGCTGCAGCATGACTGGTACATATATAGCAATAGTAGAAGTATGCTGAATTGTGGTTTCTTAAGTTGACTTGTAAATCAAAGAGAGGATTGAATTTAGAAGGAAAAAAATTACTGTTAATGCAGCTTTTTTTGTTTTGTTTTTTTGTTTCTTGTTTAGGTGTTTCTCTTTCAGGTTTCCGAGTAGAGGTTGTGGATGGAGTGAAGCTTCATCTGATGGATGATGTTAGTAGCTGGAAGCCCGGAGACCAGATCGTGGTCGCGAGCACGGACTATTCTATGTACCAGGCCGAGGAGTTCTCTCTCCTTCCATGTCCCGAGTGCAGCCGCTTTCAGGTCAAAGTCAAAGGTATCACACAGCTCCGAGTGCTTCTTGGCATTTGATTCCTGTAATCTTTTTTCTTCCCAATCACCCCTATCACCACCATCATCGTTAATTTTTTTTTTGTTTTTTTTTTTTGTAGAGACAGAGTCTCACTTTACCACCCTCAATAGAGTGCTGTGGCGTCACATAGCTCCCAGCAACCTCCTACTCCTGGGCTTAGGCGATTCCCTTGTCTCAGCCTCCCCAGTAGCTGGGACTATAGGCGCCCGCCACAATGCCTGGGTATTTTTTTGTTGCAGTTTGGCCAGAGCTGGGTTTGAACCCGTCACCCTCTGTATATGGGGCCAGTGCCCTATCCATTTGAGCCACAGGTGCCGCTCCCATCATCATTAGTATTGAAAGTTGTAGCAGTGGAATGCATTGAATGCTAGATTCCAGAGGGTGTTGGATGAGAGTGGTTGGTGAGCAGTGTTCTTCCTGATGACAACACATAGCAGCCACATCAGTGCTTTGGTTTGTTTTTCTTTTCACACACACACAAAAAGACGTGGACTAGATGGACTGATATTTTTCAAGGTCTTTTTTAACTTTTTCCTTATTAATTTTCTACTGTCAGATAACAGTAAACCCAACTATCAGTTAGATCCATTTTTTGATAGACTCTTTCTTGATTGTTTTGTTAACTTTATGTTATAATTGATAATTACTCCTCTTAGCAAGGGCCAAGAAGTCTTACTTAATTAAAAAAAAAAAAATCCCATGGTTTTTTAGTGTCTGCCTTACTTGGCAAAAAATAAATCTTGCTAATATTTACAATGGAACTAAGTAGATATTTTCATGAGACTATATTTCTGTGATAATCTTGAATAATACATTTTTTTGAAGGAAAGCAATACACAAAAATATTCTCATGATAAGTTGTACATAGAAAGAATGCCTGACATTTACCAGGGACTTTTATTCTGAGCCTGTTACTGAGGCAAAGCCGCTTTGTACCTTGCTGCATTTAGGAAATTCATTGTGCATTTATGGAATTCGTTTCACTCATTTTATTGCTTTCCTTCTGCACTCGAGATTATACATTTATGGGATAAAACAAAAGAGTTTATAGTAACTGTTCAGTAAGTATTTATCCAGTTTTTCAGTAATTTAGCATCATAGGTAATTTACAGTTTTGAAAGTTTAAAGAAAACAATTCTGTGTATAAAAAAAGTGATTGGCTCACTTGGCACTCCTTCTCTATGGGTCAATGTTATGCTTTTCCTTCTTGATAATACACTGCATAAGCAAAACAAGAACAACAACAAAATCTCTAAAAACCGTGATGCCATCTTATATTAACCTTTTTGGAAATTCCCAGTCTTGTTAACGAGCCTGTGTGATGAGTGTTCCTGAGCTCACCTCCCAGGATTTCTGTGTACTTTCCCTTCCTGAGTTTACATAAGAAGAGCATCAGATAAAGAGCTCATTATCGAAGTGCTTCTAAATTCCCAGTAAAAGAAGGAATTTAAGGGAATGCTTACTAATAGTAAAATAAGAAATGGGAAAGAAAAGATGGTAATTTCTGTATTGTTGATTACTTTAGCTTTCTTTTTTTTCTTTTTTTTTTTTTTATACTTGTTTTTTTGTTTTTATTTTTGCAGTTTTTGGCTGGGGCTGGGTTTGAACCCACCACCTCTGGCATATGGGGCCGGCGCCTTACTCCTTTGAGCCACAGGTGCCACCCGATTACTTTAGCTTTCAAGGAGAAGCATGAGAGGCATAAGCAACTGACACCCTGATATTAATATCTATAAAGCTGTTTGTTTTAGGGACTCACTATGCATTTGGTCTTCATATGTACTCAGGGGAATAAGCCACAGTCATATGGACAGGAGCTAGGGAAAATGACTCTGGGTCATTAGGCAGATTCCAAGTTAGTAGTGCTGTTCAAGGGAAGATTCAGCTACTTCATGGAGGAACAAGCCATCTGGGAATGCACCCGTTCAAGAATTGGCAGAACGGTTGGTAGTGAGGGTTCATAGGTTGGGTGGAAGGATGTACTAGATAACCTTTAAAATCCCTGGACCCTGGGATTCTGGGGTTTTGAGGTTTAGAAAAGGAAGCAGGTAAAAAGTTACTGATAAGAGGAATATCTTTTTGACATAAGTTACTTATTTTCTTTGTTCTAACATTCTTTTTTCCTTGCCCACTTCCACCAGAAACCCCTCAGTTCCTGCACATGGGTGAGATCGTAGATGGTGTAGACATGAGAGCTGAGGTTGGACTTCTCACCAGGAATGTTGTGATCCAAGGAGAAATGGAGGACTCCTGCTATGCAGACAATCAGTGCCAGTTTTTTGATTATGACACCTTTGGGGGACATGTTATGGTAGGCCAAAAGATTTGATGTTTTCTCTTTGAAATCCTGGTTGCTAAATACATGTTTAAAACAACTTTCAAGGACTGTGTACGGTGGTTCACACCTGTAATCCTAGCATTGGAAGGCTGAGGTGGGTGGATTGCTTGAGCTCAGGAGACCAGCCTGAGCCAGAGTGAGACCCCATCTCTAAAAATAGCTGAGCACTGTGGCAGGCGCCTGTAGTCCCAGCTACCCGGGAGGCTGAAGCAAAAGGATTATTGGAGCCCAAGAGTTTGAGGTTGCTGTGAGCTATGATGCCACGGCACTCTACTCAGGGTGACAAAGTAAAACTCTTTCTCAAAAAAGGAAAAGTTCAAGTTTTAGAATGAAATAAATATAGATATTAAAACATCATATTTTACTATTTTATTTCTCTCTAGTAACAATGAGGAAGTTTTAGATAATTAAAAGAAAAAGTTTTATCTTCATTTGGTTGACCTGGACTTGTAGTCAAACCAGTTAAGAATTGTTCCATGAAGAGTTAAATCAATATGTTGAGGGGAGCAAATTATACAGAGACAAAAATCAAAGGATCTTGGTAACCCATGCATGCAATTTCTGAAAGAATCATTGAGTCTTTTAAAAACATGATATTACTAAGAGTAAATAGTAGCATGTACACATAAAATACGTTTCTGTAAAAATGTTATTTGGTTTATATTTTGTAAAAATATTGAGCATCTACTATTTTTAATTGCCTAGTATTTCTGGGAAGAAAGGTTACATATATTTTAAAATCACTTTTTGTGCATTGAGTTGGCTGCGTGGTTGTTAACAACAATTCTGTTGCAATGATTTCTGAAATGTTGTTTATAATTATTCCTTTGTTTTTAGTAATATATTGAAAATCCAGTATTTAAAAATATTGAGAGTGCCCAAACTTCGGATCACAGAGGAATTTTTAAAAAGAACAGAAGAAAACAATATTATTTGCTAACTAAAACACTGGGCTGGGGAGGATTTAGAAATAAATGTCAAACTGGAGGTTTTAGGAATAAAATAACAAGATGACACTGGGAATGACCGAAGAGAAAAAATGTTTTTGAGACAGGATCTCACTCTTCCTCAAACTGAAGTGCAGTGGTGTGATGGTAGCTCACTATAACCTCAAATTCCTGGGCTCACGCAACCATCCTGTCTTAGCCTCTTCCTCGAGCCCAGGAGTTCGAGGTTGCAGTGACCTATGATTACACCACTGCACCCTAGCTGGGGCTATAGGGTTTTACTACTGTGCCTAGCTAATTTTTCTTTTCTTTTCTTTTCTTTTTTTTACCAAATGAACTGATAAAAGCAACAACTGGAGTTTTGTTTTCGTTGTTTGTTTGTTTGTTTGTTTTTGGCCAGGGCTGGGTTTGAACCCACCACTTCCAATATATGGGGCTGGTGCCCTACTCCTTTGAGCCACAGGCACCACCCCACGTTTTCATTCTTTTTTAAAGAGACAGGATCTTGCAGTGTTGCCCAGGCTGATCTTGAACTCCTGGCCACAAACAGTCTTCTCACTTTGACCTCCCAAAGTACTGGGATTAGAGGTGTGAGCCACTGCACCTGGCCCTAAAATATTTGAACAAATAAAAACAACTATGCAGGGATCATTTTTGTAGTTTTTCTCGTTATATTTGCATTTATTCTTAATTAAAGGCTACTTTTTTGTTTTTTTCGAGACAAAATCTCACTTTATTGCCCTTGGTAGAGTGCAGTGGCATTACAGCTCACAGCAACCTCCAACTCTGGGGCTTAGGTGATTCTCTTGCCTCAGCCTCCCGAGTAGCTGGAACTACAGGCGCCCACCACAACACCCATCTATTTTTTTGTTGCAGTTTGGCTGGGGCTGGGTTCGAACCTGCCACCTTCGGTATATGGGGTTGGCACCCTACCCACTGAACCACACAGGCGCTGCACCCTAGAGGGTACCTTGGATACCTTAAATCTTAAATGACTCTCAGAGGGCTCCAACCCACATGGGCTGCATGTGGATTACATGAGGACTCTTGCTTATCTGTGGTGGCAGACATCACACAAATTATGCATAGATTTTTTTTTTCTTGCTTATCAGCTTTTGTTACTGTTTGTGTATTTAATGTGTGGCCCAAGACAATTCTTATTCTTCCAATATGATGCAGAAAAGCTAAAAGGTTGGACCCCCATGCAAGCATTTTTTTTTTTTTTAGGCAGAGTCTTTCTCTGTCACCCAGCTAGAGTGCAGTGGTGTGATTAGAGCTCCCTGCAACCCGAAACTCTTGGGCTGAGTGCACCAAGCCATCAGCAGCTAATTTTCTATTTTCAGTAGAGACAGCCTTGTTCTTGCCCAGGCTGGTCTTACACTCCTGACTTCAAGCTATTCTCCACCTCAGCCTCCAGCTTGCTAGGATTATAGGCATGAGCCACCAGAGCTGGTCTTAAAGCCTTTGCTTATTATATAAAGAAGTATTTGTTAAATTATTAACTGGGAATCCAGAAAAACAGGTTGCAAAAGCAAATACGTGTTTTGATATGTTTTCCTTAAGATGTTTCCTATTAAAACTATATGTGTGTGTGTGTGTGTGTGTGTGTGTGTGTGTGTATATATATATTTTTTTTTTTTTTTAACCACTTTCCTGTTCTGAAGAAGATCAGGTTGATTTTAGTTCCTTGTCTTGCAGATAAGGAAGAATTTTACTTCAGTTCATCTTTCTTATGTGGAGATGAAACACATGGGGCAGCAGCAGCTGGGGCGCTATCCTGTTCACTTTCACCTGTGTGGCGACGTGGATCAGAAGGGAGGGTACAGACACCCCACGTCTGTGGACGGCCTGTCCATCCATCACAGCTTCTCAAGGTGCATCACTGTGCATGGGACAAATGGCTTGCTGGTAAGTGGCCTTACGTTGTGTTGAGGCATATTCATCAAAGTGTTAGCTATCCTTAATCTCACGACTTCTCCATTTGATATAAGGAAGCTATTTAGTCACATGCTCTGTTCAGTTGTCACTGAGAATTCTGTGATTTTTCTGTCTGAAGGAGGCCTAATTTTTTAACATTCCAGTTATCCTCTTATTAAATTTCATTTCATTGTATTTGTTCCCCCTGTGAGATCCAAGCAAATTATCCTCTCCAGAGAGAAATAAAACCTGACATGTTGCCCGTTCAACTAAGACTAAAAAACTTCTTTTTGCATTGGTACCCCACATGCTACAGTGAATAGCTCTTGTTACTTAAATCACCATCAATCTTGTTACCAATGACATTATACACTTGTATTTCTACAGATAAAAGACACTATTGGATTTGACACACTAGGTCATTGTTTCTTTTTGGAAGATGGTGTTGAACAGAGAAATACTTTGTTTCACAATCTGGGACTCCTCACCAAGCCTGGCACCCTCCTCCCCACTGATAGAAACAACTCCATGTGCACCACCATTCGGGATAAAGTGTTCGGGAATTACATCCCTGTGCCTGCCACTGACTGTATGTGAGTAGCTGGTGGAGACAAAAGCTCGTGTCTGATGGTCGTGACCTTTGACTTTTGGGGAAGATGTTCTGGGAGAAGTTTTTGGCGGGTGGGATTTTCCAGGAAGAGTATTTATAAATCACTTTCTAAAATGCCTTGCAGGGCTGTTTCAACTTTCTGGATTGCGCATCCCAACAATCATTTGATCAATAATGCGGCCGCAGGCTCACAGGTAAATAGTATCACATATGTTCAGATTTGGGGAGGTTATTCTTGTTCATGAATCCTGTGCTTGACGTGGATGTAATGGCATATGTGCCAGTGTGGCCCAAGCAGGACGTTGTTTTCTGCTACTACTTGTTTAGCTGAGAGCAGGATATGGTGGAGCTTGTTATTGTTGTTCCTCTGAATCCTTTGTGCCACTTAGGGTCTCTAAGTATAATGCAACAGGTGCCGAAAGGAGGAAATGACGTTGGCTGATCTCTCAGGTTATGTCATCTCCCGCGTGCGTCTGTGATGTAAGATATATGATCTTTCTGGCTTCTTACGTTTAAGTCAAACTGATTATTTGTTTCTAGTATTGATGAACAAAGCAAGGCTCAGCTTTTCTTTCTGAGAGTGGATTATTCTGTAGAATACGTGATGGTTGTCACTTTGGTCAAGGTGCACATCCTTTTGTTAAATGCAAAAATTGATAGACACCTGGGAGTTTTATCTCCTTTGTAAAAGCAGCTAACATCGGGCGGTGCCTGTGGCTCAAAGGAGTAGGAGAGATGGAGATGGTGGGTTCAAACCCAGCCCCGGCCAAAAACTGCAGAAAAGAGCAGCTAATGTCAACTACATACCATGAATTTTTTAAGACACATACAAGAATAATTTTTAAGAGAATAAATAAACTTTTTTTTTTTGGATGATAGAGATGTCCCCCAGAAAAACTTGGAGAAATTTACATTTATAACTGAGTGTGGCTTAACACTAATTTATACTTTAAATGAATCTTTTAAGACATTATACTTTTTAGATTGTAACTGTGCTGGAAACTGTACAAATAATATTCATATTTGCACAGTATGGCATTTAAAATTTTAAAAAGACAAGAAATTCCTAGCATTGTTTCCTAAGACGAAGTAAAAGATCAATTGAAGGGAACATTTATTTGAGATAACAGGAATCCAGGCATCACTGGGTGATGATTCAATTCACATCTGTTATTTTCCTTCAAAACATAACCTGAGGGTCCCTGGCAGTTGAAGGTCTTATTAGACAGGGCCAAGACCTGGGCATTTGATCATTTCAGGTTTTCATTCATTCATTTTTCTTTCTTTTTTTTTTTTTTTTGAGACGGAGCCTCAAGCTATCCCCCTGGGTAGAGTGCCATGGCATCACACTCACAGCAACCTCCAACTCCTGGGCTCAAGCGAGTCTCCTGCCTCAGCCTCCCAAGTAGCTGGGACCACAGGTGCCCGCCACAACGCCTGGCCATTTTTTGGTTGCAACCATCATTGTTGTTTGGCGGCCGAGCTGGGGATTCAAACCCGCCACCTTAGGTGTATGTGGCTGGCGCCTTAGCCACTTGAGCCACAGGTGCCGAGCCATTTTTCACAAAATTTATATTGAGCCTGTGAGGGATTTTGTGCTGAGACTTTCTAATTGGAAAGCGAGCTTTTGAGTAAAGATGACCAAGAGGTTGCTAAACAGCCTTATCCGTTATCATCATCTGATCTGTATTATATTACAGTTTAACAGGCAGGGCAAAGATTCCTTTCCCGTCTTTTCAGAAGTCAGGGGTTGAAGATGAAAGCAAGTTGAGAGAGAGTCTGAAAAATGTGGGGTGAGGCTGCTGGATACCTTTGCTGCAGTTTGTGTGAGAAAAGCAGAAAACATTTCGTGTGTGTTCTTCACTTTCATTCTGTGAGCTGTTTCTTTTCTCTCTAGAAAAACTGTTCCAGCACAGGGAATTTTGGCAGGGCTTTCCTCCCCCAGTCAATCCAACCGTTATTTCATTGTACCTTTCCACTGCCTTTCACAAAGCTCCTTTTACCTGTTTGGACACCACAGTGTTGACCAGGAAGCAGCTGCTACCCTCTTCCTGGCACCGTCCCTGACCCCCATTTCCCCAAACTCCGCTGCCTGCGAGGAGGGCCTGCCCTGCTTCAGCTCACAGGTTATGGTAACGAGTCTTCTTGCTGACAATCCAGCTCATTCCATTGAGTTGTCTCTTTTGGACCCGAAAGTTGAGCCGACAAGCATATTTCAGAGTAGCTTGTTTTATGAAGTTTATTTGTAAACTTTTATCATTGAAATAGGTTTAATAGTGCATTCACCTTGTGGGGTAGATAGACAAGGTTTCCACAATTCATTTTTCCTTTATACTCCCAATACTTTGTTTCCACTAATATAGTGCCTATTACATATGTTACGTTTATCTCTGTATTTCCTATGAGGCTGTGAATGTTCCAAACTAGCCTTAATGAACACCGGGGCCCAGCATGGGCACTAACTGAACAAGCACTGAGTTTGAAGTAATGCTTTTACACTGCTGAAGTTTTAACAACCTCTTAGTCGAAGTTCTGTCATGTGAAATTGTCTTTCACCTGGAGCTGAGTTTTAATTCAAGTATAAAATTAAAAATTGCCATTAGAATTAAGAACATTTATTGCCATTTTCATGTCTCATTCTGAGTGTCAAAAAATTTTAAACCATCCTGTTCCTGTTTGGGTCAGTAACACTGAAAGTGAACAGACAGCGTCCAGACGAAGACAGCATCCTGATTCATACATGTGGTGGTTTTTTATTTTTTTATTTTTTCTTTGGCAAAAGTTTGCCTCGGGACAGGAAAGGCACTGGAATGGTTTGAAAGAAGTCAGTGAGCTCTGCTTGTTGGTGGACAGTTGTTGAATGGGCGTGGCTCATCTCTTGATCAGGTTTGGAATAAACAGAAGAAAACGATATCGCTTAATGGCTGTGCTGTCCTGGTCACATAGAAAGCTGATTGGTTCTGATACTGTATAACTTTTTAAAGTAGGAATGATGGGAAAGTTGTTTTGAATGTAAGTTTTGGTTTTAGCCAATGATTTCTATCTTTTGTCTCATCTCCCGCAAGCAAAATTAAATTAAAAAAAAAAACTGACTTGGGGTGCTAGATGTCTGCACAACTTTTTCAAAATGTTTTTAAGCTATCCATCGTGAATTACGTATGCACTTTTTATAGTCGATTCTGAACCTGAAACAATGACAAATTTGAAGGGTGTTTCTTAGAGTGGCTTTATAAAATAAGGCTTTTAATGATTTTGCCCTTTCATTTATAGGATGCAGGTATATGGTATCTCTTCCACAAGGAACCTACAGGGGAATCCACTGGATTGCAGCTGTTAGCAAAACCAGAACTCACTCCATTGGGTATATTTTATAACAACAGGGTCCATTCTAATTTTAAGGTAGGTTCTTCAATTTTAACCATCAGTACCTATGATACACGAGGTAAAGGGTCAACCTCCCTTTGTATCTTAGTCCATTTTGTGCTGTTATAACAGAATACCACAGACTGAGTAATTGGTAATGAACAGACATTTATTTGTTTCACAGTTCTGGAGGCTGGAAAGACCAAGATCAAGGGGCCGTGTCTGCATCGGGCCTTGTTACTATGTCCTCGGGTGGAGGAAGGGCAAGGACAGGATGCAGGAGGGCGAGAGATCAGACTTGAAGCCTCAAGCCCTTTTATAATTGACACTAATCCACTCCTGAGGATGGTGCCCTCAGGACCTAAATAGCTCTCTCTTATTAGGGCCTACCTCCCAATACTTTTGCATTGGGGATTAAATTTCCATGTGAGGGATACATTCAAACCCTAGCAGATTATAGCTGAGAAATGTCAGTCTGGGTAGAACTTGTCATCAGAAAGAGTAGTTTGTGATTTATAAAAGCGGACATCTAGGCTCGGCACCTGTGGCTCAAGCAGCTAAGGCGCCAGCAACATACACCTAAGGTGGTAGGTTTGTATCCAACCCAGACCCGCCAAACAACAATAATGGCTGCAACCAAAAAATAGCCGGGTGTTGTGGCGTGCCCTGTGGTCCCAGCTACTTGGGAGGCGGAGGCAGGAGACTCGCTTGAGCCCAGGAGTTGGAGGTTGCTGTGAGCAGTGAAGCCATGGCACTCTACCCAGGGTGACAGCTTGAGGCTCTGTCTCAAAAAAAAAAAAAAAAGCAGACATCTAACCCTTGTGAGCTCAGCAATGTATGTGTAGCATCCCACTGAGACACACACATGTATGTGCAGCACACCTGGGCCCATGTGATCTCAGTAATTACACAATGGACGTGACCCATGTGTCCCCATCCTCTCTGTCTTTTCCGTCCCTCCCTCCTACCTCTTTCTAATCTTTCATATCATTGCTTGTTTCTAGAGATGTCCACATTAGATAATAGGCTTCTGGGGGCTAATAAGTATAATTCCTCTCTACTCTTCATTCACAGTGGTTGGTCGAGTGTCCTATGAAGCATTTAATACTAAGTACATAAATAGTGAGATGTTGCTTAAAAATGTTTGAACTAATTTAAGATGGTCCAGATCAAGCCACCTAAAGGCCGTTTAGGAGCTCTAGTTTCCGTGATATGTGGCACTTACCCTCCGCTCCCGGTGATAAATATATTTGGTTCATTTGTGTTCTCAGGGCACTTGAAGATTTTCATTTTGTGTATGTAATGTCCAGATCCCTTTTCTTGAGGTGACCCACACCAAAGTTAAATCAACTTTCCATTTCTGATGCTCAGAAGATCCTTTAAATACCTAAGTATGTTATAATTTGAAGAGCTTAGAGTCAATTGATGAAGATTTAAGGAAAAGAACTTTATGCAGAGCTATCATTTATGTGAGCTGAATAGTTGATTAAGGGCAGTAATTTTTTTTGGAGACAGAGTCTCATTTTGTCACTCTTGGTAGAGCGCTGTGGCATATTAGCTCACAGCAACTTCAAACTCTTTGGGCTCAAGCCATTCTCTTGCCTCAGCCTCCTAAGTGGCTGGGACTACAAGTGCCTGCTACAACACCTGGCTATTTTTAGAGATGAGGTCTCGCTCTGGCTCAGGCTGGTCTTGTGAACTCAGGCAATCTATCCACCTAGGCCTCCCAGAGTGCTAGGATTACAGGCATGAGCTCCTGGCCTAAGGGAAGTAATTATTAAAAGTAGTATTTCAAAGTAGAAATCCTCCAATTTTTAAAATTATAAGTGGTATAAAAAGCACCTCATTTGGCTCTGCACCTGTGGTTCAAGTGGCTAAGGCGCCAGCCACGTACACCTAAGGTGGTGGGTTCAAATCCAGCCCGGGCCACCAAACAACAATGATGGCTGCAACCGAAAAAAAAAATAGCCAGGTGTTGTGGCAGGCGCCCTTGGTCCCAGCTACTTGGGAGGCTGAGGCAGGAGACTTGCTTGAGTCCAGGAGTTGGAGGTTGCTATGAGCTGTGATGGGAGAAAGCTTGAGGCTCTGTCTCAAAAAAAAAAAAAATAAATAAAAGCACCTCATTTTAATTTGATGTCATATACCATGATGACATTTAGTAATCTAAATAATATAAGCAAATGATTAGATTTTAATTTGTTGAATTTGGAAATGATTATCCAGGATAATACTATATATAGCCAGAGGAAATTGAACCTGTGGCGTTTTCAGTAATAAACCTGCCATCTTGGGATCTCTCAAATTCAAACACCCGTACACACCCCAGCTGCTGTGGCTTCAGTTCCTGAATTTATCTCTAATCCAGATTGGTCACATTTACTCTACTTTCTTCTGAGTACCCTTTGAATGTCTCTTGGACATATATATAAAACAAATTCAAAACTAAAATCCTTTCTTTTAGGCTCTGACCTATTCCTGCCTGACTGTTTCAGTGAATGAAACCCCTAGTCACTTAGTTGCCCAAACTGTAAATAGATGTATTTATTGCTCTTTCCCTCACCTCTAGACGTTTTATCAATTCCTAAATGATATCAGTTCTACCTGGTAGAGAATTCTCACCCTCTTTTCTTCTGTTAGTGCTAGTCTAGGTCATTTTTCTCTTCTGGATTACTGAAATCGTCTCCTCCTACATTTCTTCTCTCTCTCTCTCTTTCTGTTTTTTTTTTGGCTGTTCATTCCCCTACCCATCTTGTAGCTAACATCATTTTTCTTCTTAAAGTGCAGTTGGTTATGGTGCTGTTGTTAAACTCCTGGTGTCTTTAGAGCATATTACCTCTGTAGGACCCCACGTTTCCTCCTCTCAGCCTTCTTCCTGACCTCTCCTCCCACCACGCGTGCTTCCCAGTGAGCCCAGGGTATCTTTTCTCGGATGTTCCACGCTCACTCTTGTCTCCAGCCCTTTGTACAAACTGTTCCCTTGAGTACTTTTCTCTGGCTTGTCAGCTGCTTCTACCCACCTTTTCCAACCTATTCTGTTGTTTGGGTGATTCCTCTCCAAAGTGACAGTTCCAGTTTTGGAGGTCACTTCTTTCAGGAAACATCCCCTTTAATCCACTTATTTCCCCCATGAAAAGACCTCATTTGAGTGCCTTTCTTTTCTGACAAAACATTATCTACTTCCTCGATCATAACGTTTATCAAATAGGTTAGTAATTTTTAAATTCCATGTCTTCCTGCTAGTTTTTGTGCTAGTAACAGCAAGGATCCTATTTTTTTTTTATTAATTAATACATAATACTTGGAGCCTGCCACAATGTAGGTGCTAAATAAGTATTTGTTGAATGACTGAATGAGTACGATGACCATTGCTATTTATTCCTCCACTCTCCACTTTTTGGGTAACAGTGATAAACTGAAACTTATTCTTAGGAATCGTTATGTATGTAGATGTAACTTGAGATTCTTGTTCATTCAAGTTTGTTATTGTGTTTTTCAGGCTGGCTTATTTATCGACAAAGGTGTCAAAACGACCAACTCTAGTGCCGCTGACCCCAGGGAATACCTCTGCTTGGATAACAGCGCAAGGTAGAGCTGGCTCACATTCACACATATCTTGCCAAAGCAAAACCATATCGTGTTCTTTTCTCTAGTAACACATGTAAGATGAAGTTTTAAACGTTTGTATTAGGATCTTGGATAAAACATTTATTCTGTAGTTTCAAGTTACATGGCTGTGGTTTTATCTTACTGAAATGCCAAACGAGTTGATCCTTTTCTTTCTTATGGCTATTCATTGCTGTTAGAATTGCAGAAAGAGAAAAGAAAAAGTAGAGAGAGATGTTGAAAAAGGTTCCAAGTTTGGCAGGGAGTATGATTCATTGAAAAAAGTTAAACTAAGGTGGTTAGTCTAATCCCTGAAAACTAAACCATATAGAATTTGTTCTTGGTGGTCAGAATGGAACAATGCATCGAATCTGTTTCAAAGGGAAAGATCCCAAATGTGATAATCAGGCTAGTTCTGGTTCAGTCGTTTTTAGCCTCTGATTCTGATCAGAGCCAGGATGGTGTGACTCTTTCAGAACCACAAAATGTGGTTGCGATATGGCTCAGCATCGCAGCACATTTCTACATGCTAATGTGTGACCCAAAGCAAATAAAAGGTCTCAGATGAAAATACAATTTTCTGGAAAAGATGTCAACTGAAAGTCACATTTGGTAGAAAGTATACATATTGGTTTTTTTGTATTTCAAGTTGGTTGGCCAGTTTATGGGTGTTGTATTTATGTATGTGTGTGTGTGTGTGCGCGCGTATGTATATGTGTATATATATTTATTTATTTATTTATTTGAGACAGAGTCTCACTTTGTCACACTAAGGAGAGTTCCATGGCTTCTTAGCTCACAGTAACCTCAAACTCCTGCACTCACGCAATCCTCCCGCCTCACCCTCCCAAGTAGTGTGACTACAGGTGCCCACCAGAATGCCAGGTTAGTTTTAGAGATGGCGTCTTGCTTTTGCTCAGGCTGGTCTCGAACTCCTGAGCTCAGGCAGTCCATCCTCCTTGCCCTCTCAGACTGCTAGGATCACAGGCGTGAGCCACTGCACTCAGCCCCTGGTGCTAGATTTAATAGGTTTTGTTGACAGACAATTAAGAATCCCAGACCCAACTGTTCCTAAGGAATAATGTAGGAACCACACTGTAGGTTGGTAACTATGACTTAAGTGTAAGGCAGGATCATTGTGACACATTAGTATGGCCCGAGGTCAGGAAGAATCTGGGAAAAGTGAAGTTGATAAAAATTACTCATCAAGGTTCCTCAAAGGTCAAGTTGAGCCTGAAATATTTAAAGCAGTGGTCAGACAGCATTTGAAAAGCCAGAAACTCTAAGTGTTATTTTTAAATAAAACACAAGAGACTGGATACCTAATAGCAGACCAAGATATGAAATGGAAAAATATTGGAGATAAACTTAAGAAGAAAGGGAGTATGTAGATCACAGATTATGAATCAAGAAGAGAATATAATCTGGCAAAGGAAAAATCTATACTAAAATATCACTGCTCTCTTTTTCAGTTTTAAAGAGTTTATTATAATTGGTACAACTAGTAATGGTACTTGGCTTAATATTGCCAGAAAAGTCCTTAAGCAAACAACTAGCTCTCTTTCTTGATTTAAAAAATTATTTTATATGTGTGTGTATATATACGACTGTGTGTGTATGTGTATATGAAAGTAAATATATTTATTTGAGTCCATTGATAGTTTAATCAGATTCAATAAAACAATTTACCCATGATGGCTGAAGAAGTTTTTTATCAGATAGATCTGCATGTGATATGAGAAAAATGATAATCTGGGGGTGAAGGGAAGGGATAGAATAAAAAAAGAAAATGGTAACGTTCCTTTGCTCTCCATTATTTATTTTTTAACAGTTTATAAAGGCATATATTGATAAGGAACGACTCCATTTGGAAGTTGTTATTGAAAAGAACTGATTATAGAGGAAAAGTAACAAGATATTTGGCAGCTTGTTTGTACCTTTAATTTTGTATAAACTAGTCTGTAGAGTATGCTCACATATATTCATGTAATGCAGACATTAGTAAAAATGATAAAACTAAAATATATGTGAGTAATAAACCAGCCCATGAATTTAGGACCCAGCTCAGGGGATCCAGAAGATGTTTGTTCATCAAAGAGGAAGCTGACTCAACAGTTCATTTGATGAGTCTTTCCTTGTGTCTTCAAGATGTGAAGTTACAGGCATGCAAAGATGGGAAATTTTAACAACTCAAGAAAGCTCTTGGTTTAAAATTGGAAAATTTCACCTAAAGGAGTGAAAGAACGCTAGCCCAATTAGTACATTTAAAGAGGAGAACAAGTGAGGGAGGCTTGGGAAGTGTGCTGCAAGTTCACTAATGATGATAAAAAACTAGGAAAAATTAGCTATTTTCTGTATACCAAGTGAGAAAGAAGATGAAAGTAAAGGATATCAAAGCCAGTGGTTAATGATTGGTTTGTATGGACAGAAAGTCCGGAAAAGAAGAGGGCCACAGCAAAGGATCAGATGTTGCTTTGTACTCCCCTCCCCTCCCCTCCCCTCCCCTCCCCTTCCCT